GGCGGGGCGAGCGGGGCGGCGAGGAGCGCCCTCTCAGAGCCGGGGCTCGGCCGGCGGCGCGGCCCGCAGCCGCCGCCCCACACCCGCCATAGCGCTGCGGCCGCGCTCTGTCAGGGGCCCTCGCCCCTCAGCGGCGCACCGCAACAGCGACAGCAGCTGCCCCGCCACTGCCAGGCGCCGCCCTCCCCCTTCCGGCGCCACTAGGCCCACTACCCTTGTCCCCGCACCGGGCAGAGCCGCGGCGAGGTCGGACTGCAACTGCGGGGTCGGTCTCCTCCACCGACAGGCGGGCAGGCGGACACCCTTCTGAGCAGGGGGGGAGGCCTCGCGCCGCGCCATTTTGTGCCCCCCTCCCGGAAGCGCGTCCGAGCGCTGCCGCCATCTTGAGAGCGGCGAACTACGTCATCCAGCCTGCGCCGCCATCTTAAGAGGGGTCTACCCACCCCCTCAGAGGTGCATGCGCCTGGCCGCTGTCGCTCCCTCGGGTGGTGGCTGCTGCTGTCGGGGGCAGGGGCCGCACTGCGGGAGGCCGGCTCGGGGCGGTCTCAGGGGGGGCACGGCACCTGCCATGCCGGCCGAAATAAGTACCGACAGCCACGGTTAGCGAAGGGGGCACCGGCGTTCCTCCGGCGCCTGGGGCTGCCCCGCTCCCGCCCTTCCCGGCGGCGCCTGCTCCGGGGAGAAACCAAGACCCTCTGCCCGCCCGCCCTCCCCGCCGCCGGGGCTGCTGTCGCCGCCGGCGCCAAGGCTGCCTGTGGCTTTGGGCAGGGGCCAGGATTGGGGTGTGTTAGGCGTTGAATACTCAGTCCTTGTGAGGTGAACCGAAAGGAGGTGAACGCCTGGCGTCCCGACAGCGCGGCCCTAACCGAGGTCACCTGTCCGGAAAAAAAATCCTGGGTTGCTCTTTAAAGCCTGCATAGCATCCCTTCTTCCCCTGTGCATGTGAATTCAAGGTGACTCAAAGAAGTTGATATGCTTAATGCAACTCATCTTTTCCAACGATCGGAGTGTGGAGAGTGCCACAGGTTCACTAGGATCTCCTGAAACTTCTAATTTTAAAAAGGGGGATGAAAGGACTTGGTTTCCGAAAGCATGACTCATAATATACATAAATAGCTTCCCTGAAAGAATAACAAAAGCTTTTGTTATTATGTCACCAGCAGAGCCAAGAAGTATGTGACACTTTGATGGGGCTTTGGTGAACTAAATGACTGGTGCACACGTGGCACCGAGGGCACGTACTGGCTTACCAGCCATGACTTTAACATTCATGCCTTTGCCTTTTATTTCTAAAGTAAGATTATTACTGTGAATGAGCATTAAATAGTTACCAAAAGCTACACAGCTAGCAGAAGAGTGATGTACCACATTGCCCAAGGTAGAGACCTGCAATACTATTTGTTGGGTGGTTTTTGTAGTCTTTTCCCCAAATCTCCACCACAATACAACCTCCAGTTCCAGCAGCACATACAGAGCATCAGTCACGAAGCTTTACTGAGTTACGCAGCTGTTCAAGGAGGGGGGTGGTGAAATGAAGTGCAGTTTGGGGGTTTTTAGATAGGATTACTTTGAAAAATTATTTGGAACACAGCATAAACTACAAGGGCAGCCTTCACTGCACTAGCACATCCTGTCCAGCATCATGAAGAAACTACGCGTTCTCTGGCAAATGTAAAAATCTGTAACGGCTTGCTTCCTTGCTTTACTTTTAACTGCTTAACATAAGGTGTTAGGTAACCATATTATTGTAATTTAATTTGAAACTGGGCAGGATTCATAAAACTTTTTGTCTTGGACTACCTAGATTGTTTTGTTTCTCTTTTGAGTAAATGAATGAAGAAGCAGTTATTAAATTGTAACAGAATAAAATAGATGATTTACTAGTTTATTACACTGGAGCAGAGCACGCTGCTGGCCAAGTTAATAATAGTTCATGCATAGCTCCGTCTTATCAAGTACATAATACACAAGGTTATGCATGTTCTCTACAAAACTAATTTGGCCAAGTGTAAGCACACAGCCTACTTTTTTCTGCTTATACATCATAAAATCAAATTAGATATTTAAAAATGTAAAATTACTCGTAACTGTAAGCTTAAGTCCTAATTCTATGGATATAGTTACTGAACTCCTGAAGGGCAGTGCTAAGAGAAATTCATCCTTTCAAATCTTCTTTAAATCTTAATCCTCTGCAGAGAAAGAAGAAGCCAAACATGAAGCACGAGAAAATGGGAGAAGACAAAAATACAGAAATACAGGGATCAGACTCAGTTACTCCTCTCCTGAGGCTTTTACCTTGGCCTTATTATAAAATCAGCCCCAAAGTCTCTTGCTACCTTTCAGTTGCCAACCACCTGCTTTCCTTCAGCCTCTCCAACAAAAACCCTTCAGCTCATTTTTGACAGTAGGCTTTTCTCACTAAAACTGGGAGAGAAAATAATTGTCCACTATTTCTTTCAGCACAGCAGGAAAAAGAATCAATGTGAGCAGAAATGGCATGGGGAAAAAAAAAGTGTGTCCTCAAGCATTAGATAAGTTACTGGAAACGCTGTATATGTTTTACTGTTACAATAACTGCTAGACTGTTCCAAGGCAAGCAATTTCAATTAATTGTCATCTGTATATGTTTGAATCATAGACAAATCACACTATGTTAAAGATGTCCACCTTTCTGTAATCTATGATTTCTGTAATGGGCAGGACATACTGATTTTTTTTTTTTACAATACCTGCTAACTATTTTTCCACTCCAATACAAAGTTCCTCTTCTTAAATTCAGCTTAAGCTTCTGGCAGTCTTTCCAATAACACATGCCTGCTCCATGTCATCATCTGTCATCTTGCTCTCCTTTTATATCAACAAGAGTTACAAGAACACATATGGTAAAACAGTTCATTCAGGCTGAAAGTGGCTTCTTTCCCCATTTGAAGCGCCTTTCTGCTACCACCATCATTAAAATCTGCCAATTTGTTCAACAGCCTAATTCAGGAATAAAAATTAAAGACAACTAACAAATCTAATGATTTTCAGAAAACTCATACTGCAGTGAAAAAGTAAAATCTATACCTTCAGTGAGAGTATGTTGTATTGTATATCCATAGAGGTTGAAACCTTGCTTCCCATAGAAAGCTTACTGGGGGTTAGGTAATTGTGCATCTAGGGGAAAAAAGGCGAAGGAGAAAAAACCCTCTTCAGCAGATACAAATAGAGGGAAACACAGGCAGGCAATTTCAGATGTTAGCAGCTGCGAAGGAAGAGGTACTCACACCAAGCATGCAAGATTGTGTAGAGACACAGAAAAGGCTAATATAAAAATATTTTATTCATCTACCTGCCAATGAGGGCCAGTTCTTTACTAGGTGACGAGCCAGACATTAAGTGCCTGTCAGAGAGGTTCATAGTGGAGCCAGGCAGAAAAGTCAAGCATGCACTGTACTAGTCACAGACTCTTGGATAAAAAGAAAAAAAGCTGGGACAACTTCCTTCTGCACCCAGGTGTGCCTATATGTGGGGTCATGCCACATCTTCAATCAGCTTTCCTACTACACAAGCTGGTGCAGTCTGTGCATCCTAGCTGTGAGGTTAAACCCTCCACCACATGGGACATAGTGTCCTTCTAGAGGTATAATTTTACCCCCAGATTACAACAGTTTGTACTTAATTACTTACAAATAAACAAGGAGATGGAGAAGCAGCAATATCTAAATGTAGTCCAACACTGTGTTAAGTCAGCCAGAAAGTGTCACTAAAAACAAAAGCTATATGCTACAGTCCATGTTTAAAAAGGATTTCACTCAGAGTCTCTGTGCCTGCCCTTTGTGTAAATTCAGCACTCCTGGAAGGTGCTGTCCGTTTTGTGAGATCTCTGTCATGCTTCTGAACCCATTTCTGTTTCTGATGGCAAGCTCCACTCTAACATCCGCAGCAGCTGCAGTTTCCCTTGCAGACACTGCGGACTGAAGCCTGCAAGTATGCCAGAGAGTGGGTTTCCAGTTCAAAATTCTCTTGACAAACAAGATGCTGTTCAGCAGTGATAAATGCAAGGTACTACCCCCAGGCAGGAGGAACTGAGCACGCAAATGCAGAAAGATCTGTAGAAAAGGAGCTAGGGTTTGTATTGATTCACCAGCTTAACACAAGACAGCAACAGCATACTATCACAAAAAAAGGGAAACCTTATCTCAGAGATAAACAGGGCTTTTGTCAGCAAGAGACATGAAATGATCCTTCCCCTTCAGTTGTCAAGAGCAAGGCTTCTGGTGGAGACGTGTCCAGCTTTAGGCAGCACATTTCAAGCAAAATCGAGAGTGTCAAAGTAGCCTAGCAGGAATGACCAAAATATGTAGAAGAATCGACCCAGAGGAAAACTTTGGGGCAGTTGGGATCATTTACTCTGAAGAGGAGAAGGCTGATGGGAAGCATGACAGCAGTATGTAAATATGGTGTGTCAGAAAATGAAGACAATAACCTGATCTGCTTGTTCACAGGGGACAAGACTAGACTAAAAGGGCTTAAAGTCCACCAAAAAATTCCCTCTAGAGATGAGGAAGGGCTGGTAAGGCTAGTGAAGCTCTGAAACAGACTGCTTGAGGAAGATGAGAAACTCCCACGCTGGAGTTAAAAGGCCAGTTAAAAACATTCCTCTGTGAAGAATTCTGTAGTTTACTCTTTGCTGGTATGGTGAATGGATTGCATGGGTCCCTTTAGGGTCCCTTTGAGCCTAATTTTTCAGAGATTCTGTGCTGAGATGGCAGTGTTGTGATTGACACTCAAGTGATGAAACAGATCCTTGCTCAAAGGTGAGTGGAAGAGTTTCTCATGTGACATTTCCCTTCGGACCCACTGCGAGGTTGGACTGAAGCTTGGTGCTCAGATTCAGTTACTTCCTTTACTGCTTTCTGACTTAGAACTTGAAATGTTCATTTTCTGAGAAGATACTGATCACCAGTGTCCTTCCCAAGGGCTAAGTTAAAATCAAAGCTCCATTTTCAAATTGGGCTTTGTTTTGGATCTTTGAGTTTACATTTGAAAAGAGGGAACATTTCCCACATCTAGTCATTTTCTTTGTGCTTACAAGCTATAATTGTGAAGATGCAAATTGCTGCAAAGTATGGAGCAGACATAATTTCTTCATCCTTTCTGTCACAAAGGTCTCTTGTTTCTTTTCCAATTTCTTTGCTGTCTTTCCTTCTTCCCATCGACCTGTTTCTATTGGAGACAGCTTTTACCCACCTCGTTTCTGCTGGATTCTCTCTCATTCCGCAAAGTCTCTACTTGCTTTTCTGCAATCTTTCTGCTTGTTACTGGACCCTGTCTTCTTCATCATCCATTCCTAGTTATTCATTCCTTCCTGAGCCCAACATTTACTAGTCTGTTGTGTGCCATCTTTGTCTCTATTAGTTACGATATAATCTAATGCTTTATGGTATGATAGATTAATTTATTCAGCATGTAATCTAGTCCAGACCTTGGAAAAAAATGCAATAAAGTGTTAATAATAACTGTAATGTGTAGCAGATTACCATCCCTGGCATTGAATGGTTTCGTTTAAATACAATCACAGAAGCACAGAATAGTTGAGGCTGGATGGGCCTCTGGAGATCGTCTACTCTAACACCCAAAGATGATCTGTAAATAAAATTAAGAAAACAGGGTAATGGTAATGAACCAAGGACATAAGTTCAGGGAAATTTGGTGATGCGTAATGAGATAAAGCATTATCTCATTATGCATCAGAAAAAATATAGCAAATTACAGTAGGTAAAAATAAATCTTTCTTCTGCCAACCTGGGATTCAACTGTGAAAGAATTTCTGGGAAACTTCAGAAGTTTTAACACAAATGCAATCCTAAAATACCTCTTATTAAGAGCCACGTTTGAAACAACATCATGCGCACACTGTGGAATTAGAAAGGAGATCTTTTTCATATTCATGTGAATATAAACCTGATGTTTGCTTATATATATAGAAAGAACATCCTGTACCTCTACAGCTAACACCTTTTCTACAGTAGGGAAATTTGGCACATTGAAATGACTATTTGGATTCTGTAGCACTTGCATTATGAGCCCCCTCCACAGGCGCTTGCAGGAATGCACTGGTGACTGCAGCACCTCTTAGGTGGCAGATGTGAGCAGCAATGTGAGACACAGTTCCAGCTGTATGTACTCAGCTCTTGCTTCAGCTGTGCACAAAAAAAAAGGGAAAGTCATTGACCCCTGCATTAAATCCTTAGCCTCAACAAAACAAGCATCACACAGATGCAGCTGACATATTATGGCACCAAACTGTTGCTTGTTACTGCAGATCAAGAGAAGCCTTCACCATCACCTACACTTTCCAAATGCACAGTCCACCTGCTGTATCTCTGATTTATGTTATCATCAAGGGATACAACAAATAAGGGTAGGGATGGAGTGTCTTTAGCAAACTTCCTAGAGGGTAAAGTGTGGATTGCTCTCAGGCAGAGATTAGGGAAATAAAAAAATAAGTATTTGGATATTGTGCATTGCCAACCAATCTGTTGCCATCTGGGGCCATTGGGTAGAAGATCTCTGGGAATTGCCCTGGGTCACCTTGGTCAGTTAGCTAGTCCTGACACCTGCAGTTCAATCATACACAAATGTCTAAGCCTGAAAATGTTACAAAAATTAGGAGCTTTGTCAGGAGAGGGGAGGATCAATTAATTTTTGGACAACATATCCCTTAAATCACAATATGGATGAATTTAATTGACAAGGACGACAGAAAAATGTGGTAAAGATTTCAGAAAAACTTCCATTTTAAAAACAGATGGGAGGATAGTGACTAAATGATTAGTTTTAAGCTGTATAGAAAAAGAGTGCTTGGCCCCAGCAGACTAGAGGTCTAGGCAACATAATTTCTAACAACATCAAAATTATCCCCTTGCTATTTCGGAGTGACTAACTCATTTTCATTCGGGTTTTTTCCTTCTATTTTCCCTCCTCTTTGAGCCGTTCTCTGTAAGACCCTACCTTTACCAGGAAGGAAATATATAGCCCACTACAACATTTTACAAAAAGCTTTAACAGCACCCTGTGATAGTTTTACAGTTGAGAGAGGACAAGTAAGTTTGCATTAGATGCATCAGGTGCAGGCAGGAAATGGGGTTTTAAAAAGTTACTGTCTTCTACAACATTACATTCTGTAGCTGGGAACTTAAAGCATTTTTGACAGCTGGGTCTCCACAGAAATAAGTACACTAAGACTGCAGCTATTTTAAGAACTTAAAGGACGCCGGAAGTTTGTGGATAGGTACTACATCTGGGGGAAATCAGTCCATTTTTTGACAATTCATACCCTTCACTTCATGTCTTCTACTCATTCTGCCTGTACTAACTTAATTGGGCAATAACAGAGACTGCAGAAAAATATGCCTGGTTTGGCAAGAGAGAGTCATGGGCCCAGGGACATATGAGAAACAAGCAGCTTGTGTTCAGTCCTGGTTTCATCTGGTTCAGGACACAGGCAGTAAAACCAGTAGAGATGATCTTAAAGGCTTTATGACAGAAAGTAAAAACGAAACAAAACAACCATAAGCACAAGACTTATTTGTTAAATTCAGTTTTCTAATATTTACATCTGACAAGCTCCCACAGTTGGCATTATGAACTCTACCATCTCAAGGTACAGCTAGTCTTACTATAAAGACAAGCACTTGCACAGTGTCCCACTACTTTTTTGCACCAGCTCAAATCTACCACTCTATGTCTAAGCTGCTCACCTAAGAACTGTCTCTTCCACAGAGGCCTCAGAAAGCTCTTTACAAAGCCTTCTTTTGAACATTTTCCACTTGCAAAAAGCATGGTGGCATTTGCCATCACTCCTGTCATAGAGAATAACTCAGACTCTCTTTGGAGTAACAAGTGATAATTCATACCCAGCTCTTGAGCTGGGTAAGTAATGCATTTTTAGTATGGGAATAGTAATGTATTTTTTTCTTCTGGAAACTTGGCAGAGAGCTTCTCTTCTCCCCCAGCAATATGCCTTTCTAAAGGACAGGCCAGATCAAGTACCTGGATGTTATATTATGCCTTAGCAAGGCCAGTGTTCTCAAATTCTGCTTATCTGCAAATCTGGGCCAACTTTAAGCAGTTTTCCCAATTAGGAGAATATTTTTTGCAAGAAGCTACCTTGCTTTATATCAAGCTTTTATTTTTCAAACTTTGAGGAATAGACTTTCTTCTCTACAGCTCAGGAAGTCAGTGGATAAACAGTAGCATCACAGAAAATCTGAGCCTGTCTCATTATTAAGTTAAAAATTTTTGTAGAAAGCCTGTCACATTTCCATCTCCAAACATACATGAACACACCACAGAATTAGTGGGAACTGATCTAACTCTCTATATTGGACAGAAAGCTCACTGCTCCAGGAAGGTTTTACTCTGTGGCCATAAAAGCTCTTCTGGAATCTGGAACTGAAAAGTGAAATGCTCCCCAGGGCCAAGGAAATACCACAGCTATTGAATTATGGGGATTACACAGAAAGGATTCTGTTGAATAAAGCAAGAGGAATGTAAGCTTATGGCCTGTCTTGCTGACTTGTAGGTTAGAGAGCTAGGTGTTTCAGTAATGATGCCTTGAAACTCCAACGTGCATGGCAGAAAAACTTCTCTTTTTAAAATATTTCTACCTTACAGATTGTCCTCTTCCACCCGTTCTCACAAGTCTATGCTCAGCCTCTTCTGCTCCAGTAAAATTACTGTACATTGTCTATACTCATACAAATGGTAACTGTACCTGCTAACAGGTGCTAGAATTTTTAAACCAGCTGTATCCATGAAGGGTCTGTGCACACAGACAGATGCATCCTCAGTGACAATATCGCAGTGGCATTGTGGCATCTTCCCGGCACTCCTTGGTGCCTTTGGCGTTTCTTCTGGGCAGGGACCACTGTCACTGAGAAAGCTGGTGTAACACCCAACTAAAGCTGAATCATGTGGCAGGCAGTTTTGAATTTTCAGTAAAGAATGATCAGAAAGGTGATTTTTATTATTTTTAGTAATCAACGTGAAAACAATAGCAATGATTAAGTCACAAACAGGCATAGCCTAATTGTAACCATGGCATTAATACTTAAGATGAATATAACAGAAATTACAAGTATGTTAACATTATTCATTCTCAGTCAATGAACAAAAGTGTACAGTAAGGTCAGCATTAATCTATTAAGAATGCTACAAAACCAGCCAGCCACTGTCCTTCAACAGCAGAGTGCTTGCTGTAAGGCAGGCTGGAATGACTGCTATCTGTCCCTTCAGGCAGCTATACTCCTAGGCTGCCTATGGACACTGCCTATTCTCCTATTTCTGCATGTAGTTCTGATATTTCCGTTTGTTTGTTAGGGGTACAAAAGCACTACCTGCTAGAAAAAAAAAAGAGCTACAGTGCCAAGGGCCAGCCCTCACACTCTACATGAATAATGCATGTATGCAGCCTAGGAGCTCACAGTAGAGGCAAAGCTGGCTCGATTGACAGTGTGTGACAGTCATCTGTCTGTGTGACATAGTATCTGCTATTCAAACTCGTTTCCCACCCTCCTCTAACTCCTTGCTCCATGGATAGGACATGCTTTTGGAGCTGTACCGCTTTCAAAATGTTGTCTTTTACATATCACTCTTTAATAGGAATTCTGTAACACAAAAATTTTGCTTTTGTAGAAAGGAGGGTCTTTAAATACACCCCTTCCATCTCCTAGTCCTTACACCGTACCTTCCTCTTTTTCAAAATATTTGCTAATGCATGTACTTAACCACCTGCCTCTTAATAGAAGTACCA